GATTAGGGTTTAGGGATTAGGGTATCCACTGAAGACCCCCCAAAGCGCAGAGTCTAGGGTTTCGGGTTTAGGCCAGCCGCTGCAGCTTTCGCGAATCATGGGCAAATGGCCCCATTCGGCTGGAGCCCCGAGAGACCACCCGGGACTCCAAGTCAGCCTCAAACTTCTAAACTAAGCACCACAAAGCCACAAGCCACCTGAAACATCAAAAAAGTCTCATGTTCTGCATGCGCTCCGGGATCACCTCCTTGGCGACTGGCGCGGTGATGTCATCGATCCTTGGACAGGAAGGAAAAGTCTCTGCGGAGGTCCGACTAGGGCTTGGGTTCCGACGGCTGCTGGTGTCTGGAGTTTGCGGTTTAGGTTTGCTTGCTGTGAACATGGGGGTTAAGGACGTTGGAGGTTAAGCTTCAGGCTATAGGGCTTGGTCTCTGGGCGATCATCCTTGGTGCAGGAGCCCTATCTCAGGAATTCCCAGAGCACCGATGCCTTCAGGAGAACTTCTAGCCGTTGGTTGAGTCAGGTTTGGGGTAGAAAGCGTGGGACATGTCAAGCGGGTTGACAGCCACAGCCACTGTTACCATTCCTTCTCTCAGTACTACGCACACCCTGCGTTTGGTAGCGGAAAGATGCCAAGACGCAGGGATGTAACACCAATCAGAAATCCTGAATTCGAAGTCCTGCACCCCGCCCCTCAGAAACAAATCCCGAAGACCCCAAAACGGCCATAAACCCCCAAAAGCCCTCAAGAACCCAAAAAGCCCCTAAAAACTTCTAAAACCGAAAACCCTCGACCTAAACCCGAAAGATGTAGGGACCCCCAAAAAGGCCCTAAAGCCCTGAGCCCACCAAGGCGCTGCACGTTCAGGATTTTCATGGGATCCTTGCCTTGGGGTCCGAATCCGAGGCTTTGGGATTGGGATTAGAGTTTAGGGTTTAGAGTTTAGGGGCTATAAGGCTAAGAGTTAGGGTCTAGGGTTTAGGGATCATAAGGCTTAGGGTTTAGGGTTTAGGGTTTAGGGTTTAGGCATTATAGGGCTTGGAAGGATTTTAGCGTTTAAGACTTAGGGCTGACGGCTTACACTTCAGGGTCGAGACTCGGAGTTGTGGGTATGGGGTCGAGGGTCTGGGACTTAGGGTTTGCTTAGGGTTACGGCTAGGAGAGGAGCGGCAAAATTCCAGTGTGTTTATCGGTCATGCTTGTAAATGTTCTATAGAGCCTTGCAGGGGGGTTGCCAAAGAACCTGTGCATGTTACGAGCCATGCGGGCGGAGCCTTCGAGGCCACTGCGCAGGAAATTCGGTTTTGGTGCGCGAGCTGTCAGGCCTCAACACCAACACGCATCAACATCCTAAACGCCCAAACCCTAAATGCGAAGATGAAAACCTTCAGAGCCCCAGTACCCTGAAGCCCTAAGCTCAAAGAAAGAAACAATAGGTCTACTTCGAGTCGATGGCCCAGTTGCCCTCCGTCTGCTCCTCCTTCAGCCGTCGCGCGGCCGTCTGCCCACAATTCGCAAGTCGATGAGACCAATGAGAACAGAAATAGAAGAAGGGCTGGAAGTAACACGAGACCATTGAAATGCTAATTCTAGAGCTATGCTGGGTTGAGGCTGGAAACATGAAAACAATACAGCGGCGACGACGCGAAGACGACCACGACAACGACCGCTCCGCGACCACGACCACGACGAACACGAAGACAACGACAAAGCGCCGACGAACGACGACGACGACGACGACGACGACGACGCACCACCACTGTTGCTACTAGTAGGTTTGTTCCAAATTGCTAATGCAATAGATACCTCACCGCAGAGCATATGACAGCCCGACATTGGATCCTTGAAGCTA